CGTTAAGGCATCGTTGAAGTTTGTTCCTTATTTCGCGAGGCATCCTTTCTTTGACGGCTATTGCGGTATCATCTGCGAACAGGAAGAACACGCAACCGTCACCGAGGGGAGGAATGTCGGAAGTATAAATGCTGTAAAGCAAGGGGCCCAGCAAACTGCCTTGCGGGACTCCTGCTGGGATGGAAAACGTGTCTGAAAGACAACCATTCCACGATACCTTAAACGACCTTTGCTGGAGGTAGTTACGGGTGATTTTAACCAGATGTGAAGGAAAGTTGAAATTACAAAGCTTGTACACAAGTCCATCATGCCCAACATTGTCAAACGCCTTTTCAACGTCTAACAAGGCCACGGCTGTGGACTTGGATACAGCTTTGTTACTTCGGATGTTATTCATCACCCGTACTAGCTGGTGATTGGTGGAGTGCCCCTTTCTGAACCCAAACTGTTCAGGAAGGAGAATGTTATTTTCCTCGACAAACTTGAGCAAACGATTGAGAATGAGTTTCTCGAACAATTTGCTCAGCGCTGAAAGGAGGCTGATGGGTCTGTAGCTTGAAGGCAATCTTGGATCCTTACCGGGTTTGCGGATTGGTATGATTTTTGCTACTTTCCAGATGCTTGGAAAGTAGTGCAGTTCCAAACATCTGTTGAAGATAGCGGTTAGGAGAGACTGCACTTTCATGCTGAGTCTTTTCAAGATCAAGTTGAATATACCGTCAAACCCGGGGGCCTTCATGTTCTTGGTGCATTTCAGCGCTGAGCAAATTTGTTGTACTGTAATCAGTGCTGCAAAATTTCGACAATACACGGTGATACTCAAAATTCTGCTTTGGTCACTCGTTTGAGCGAACAGTCATCGTCAATGCAAACCATGTCAATTGTCAGTGGCATTTTTGTCAGTGACGAACATGTGCTGATTTGTTTATTAGCTAAATTTAAAATGAAATTAAATGGCTTGAGGAAAACAATTACATAAAGCCATTAAAGTGAACAAGCATCTACGTCCTGAACAGCTTGGATAACAATAATGTGACTCAGAATGCAAGAAATTACCCTTTCTGTTACCAGGTGAATCTTTGTCATTGACGAAAAAATGAATGAGATTTTGACAAAGATTTTGTTGAGGATCAAGTCTATCATTGACGATGTGAAAAACAATTTTGTCAATATCGCGCAAAAGTCTGTCAATGACAATGACAAATCTCAGCACTGACTGTAATCATATCCGCTGGAGGCACGACACAAGGGGAGGCATCTAGATTTTGAACGCATTGCGCAACCTGATCATCGAGCGGACTTTGGATAGTCGAGCCAAGCAAATGCGATGAAGCGACATGCTTACCGATCGCATTTGCTTTCTCCTGTGGGGTGATTAAAAGCCGATCGTCATCATTATCGACTCTGAGAGGTGGAACGGGTTTGGGATGAGTTTTCAGGACCTTGGCTACCTTCCAGAATGGTCTGGAGCGGTCGTCCAGATTCTGGACAACACGCCCGAAACTTTCATTTCGGAGTGAGTCCATTCTGGAAGCAATCTGCCTGTTCAGATCGGTCATTTCACGTTTTTTGCCCAGATCTCCAGTCCTCTGAAACTGGCGTCTACGAACATTTCTCAACCGAATCAGTAATTGGGTGTGGGAATCAATAGCAACAAACTAACCCCTCACAGGAACTTGTCGAACACACGCCTCGTCAGCCACGGATATGGCCTGTTGGAGTCCTTCCAACGCCCGGTCGATGTCATATACAGTGTCGAGCAGTGGATTTTCATTGATGTTGCTGTCCACCATTCGTCCGTACTGCACCCAGTTGACATGGTGGTAGTCTTTACGCAGGCAGCTTCTAGCAGCAACCACGTTGACACCGACTTCAGTCACCACCGGTTGGTGGTCGGAGCTGAGATCGTTGTGCGCCTCCGGCTTGGATAGTCCGATGTTTGTCAGGAAAAAGTCCAGAGTGGAGGGATTTCCCGCCGAAGAGATGAAAGTGGGTTCGTCCGGAAATTGCACAGTGTACAGTCCATGTTGTGCGTGGTCGAACAATAGACATCCGTTCCGGTTCCTCTGGTAGTTCCGCCAAGCTTCATGGGCCCCCCACGATGAATCGAGAGCTAGTACGGGTGATGGCGGTCAGGTCCTTTTTGAATTGGATTCCTAGTCCATTGCTTGCGGTACACTGGCGTGGGCAGTAAACAGCGATAAACCGGACGTTTCCAGTTGGTGATTCCACCTCCACACTAACGGCCTCGATGATAGAAGTGCGGATGTGGGGCAAAGTACAAAACTTGATTTCCTTTCTGACGATGACCGCTACACCCCCCCCCCCCCCCTGGAGCTGGTGCGATCAAGCCAGATAATGTTGTGCTCAGGCAACCAGAAGCTGTCACCGGACTTTAGGTGGGTCTCGGTTAGAAGAACCACGTCGATGCTATGCTTGCGGAGGAAGTCGGCAAGCTCAATATGTTTTGCTCTTACAGAGCAAGCGTTCCAGGTAGCGATGGATAGCGGTTTAGACACCATACTGGATGATGAACTTACCGAACACTTGGATCTGTTCGGGCTTATTGCGGCACTTACGTAGAGCACCGGTCATGTTGATGAAAATCTCCATCAATTCATCCGCTGTGAACAGATCGGGATTATTTGGTTGAGCTGTTGGTTGTCTCCAGAATCCAGGGGGGATGGACAAAGCTGTCCAGCAGAAGATCCAGACGTTTCTTGAGGGGGGGGGGCGGTTCACACCCTTGGATTCGCTTGTCCATGAAGAGGCGGAAAGTCCTCCGCCCTGAAAGCCGGGGCCTTATCCTTCCTTCGTGCTGGTTGATTTTTGGTGCACGCCTGATTTCGGATGCGCTTGAAATCGTCGCGTTTAGGGCACTACTTGTTGGATCCTTGGTGAGCACAACCACAGTTGGCGCATTTTAACGCCACGGCTCCATCCGCAGGGCAGTCGGAAGTGGCGTGGTCTTGAGCGCAATTGCCACAGCGTGGCTTGATGTTGCAGTTGCGGGTGCCGTGTCCGAAGTTCAGACACCGTTGGCACTGAGTCACATCACGATGGCCGCCACGGTATGGCTCCCAGCGGACGATGATGGAATTGATGGAGCGGATGGCTTTCAGCGCGTTGAGCGTCACCGTTCCCTTCTGGAAGTGTACCAGGAAAAGGTTATCCGGATACGCCTTCACATTTTCATCCTTCCTTGTCATCCGATAGACGGCACTTGGGGCCAGCTTGTACCGGTCTCTGATTTCAGCTTCGATAAACTTCGGGTCGAAGTTTGGTAGGCCCATAATGACGACCTTGAATGGCTTCTCACCGGGAATGTCGTGGGTGAAGAATTCCACCTTGGAAGTCCTCAGGTGGGCGACGACCAAGTCATACTCCGCTTTGGTACGGAGCACCACCTTGGTGCCGACTCTGCCCAACTTGTATTCGGATCATTGTCCATAGACGAATCAAACATAAAATTCTTTCTTCATTTGAAACCAAAGCTTTTGAAACTTTGGGAGTTTCTGTTGAAACAAAATTTGGATAACTTACGTTTATAGCTGCCTATTTGCCATTCCAATGCGTAGGCCAGAAAAAGAATTTTCTCGAGGGAGACCTTCAGAAACTTACCCGTCATATGTCTAAATTCTTCATTATTGGTTATTTTAATGCAAAACACCGCTCATGGAATAATGCTCAAAGCAATTCCAATGGTAAGATTCTGTTTGATGATTGTTCTGCAGGTTATTACACTATTCAATATCCAAACAGCCCAACATGCTTTTCCCTCAACTTAACTGATTCATGTCAACTTTGTAGCCAATTGGTTACCCATGCTAACTTCGGTTCTGATCGCCTTCCAGTAACTTTTGAAATATCCCTAGAAATAATTTCTAATCCCAACAGCTCTACTTTCAATTACCATAGAGCTGATTGGGAGCAACATCGAACATTTATGGAATATAGCTTCGATCCAAACATTCCTTTGCAAACCAAAGATGAAATTAATTATGCTCTTGAATCTCTCACTACTTCTATAGTTGAAGCAAGAACTGCCTCAGTACCAAAATGCGAGGTTAAATTATGTAGATTCAATTATAATAGACGGCGATCTTCAGCTCTTGATCCATCTTAAAAATCAGGCATAACATTTGATAACGGCACAAAAGCATTTGTAAACAAACTTTCTAATGCCCTTTATACGCGAACCAAAGTACGCCCACGCTAACCAACAACATCATCGGATAGGTGCAACTACCACCTTTCCGAATGGGGTATTGGTTTGCGTGGGCATACTTTGGTTCGGGTGTAAAGGGCCCTAGAAAGTTTGTTTACAAATGCTTTTGTGCCGTTATCAAATGTTATGCCTGAAATGTCCGTAGGAGACAATATCAAAGAACACGCGATCCCGCCATGAAAGTTATTATTTGCAAAAACGATTCTCTGCCCTGAGGAACAAAACTTTTGAAAATAATGTTTCTAAATTAGACCCGAGTTCCAAACCCTTTTGGAAACTCACAAAAATTTTGAAAAAACCTCAAAAGCCTATTCCAGCGCTTAAAGAAGGTGGTAAAATTTTGATCACAAATTTGGAAAAAAGCTCAGAAACTTGCTAAGCAAGTGAACCTTTGCTGGATAGGATACCTTAAAACGACATAATTCTGCGAAACGCCTAATTTCATGCTTTTTTACCCGGATTTTGCGGTATAGGTATTGCGATTTCACATATTTGAATGACTTATTATTATACCTATCTACAGTTTCAACTCAATTATCTCAAATTATCCACATATTTACAATTATCTCTGAATTTTCGAAAACTGCGCATAATTATGGCACGGTACTTGATAAACTAGCAGCGAGCACTTTCTCAAACCTTTACTCACAAAAATAGACTAGCCAAGCAGAAAACAGCAATTGAAAGAAGAATATTTACAAACTGACAAAATGAAAGATGTTGAAGCCATGGCCGAAAACTACAAATAAAACGCGCAATCCCGACCACTCACCTTGCTTTTCCGGATCAGCCAGACGGGACACATTGTTGGCCGAGCGCAGCGTCGAGTACAGAATGCACAACATCCAGATGACCAAGCCGATGATGCTCGTTTTGTCGAAGTGAACCTTATTCTGCTTGTCGCCGATGATTCCCAGGAATCCCGGGTTGCATTCGGTATCCGGATTGTTGGCCACGGCCGACCAAGTCAAATAGACTGTGTACAGCGTTACCATCGAGCTTTGTAGCAGGCCCGACTTGGGTGCGTGCTCCTGGATCTTGGGCCAAATCGATATAATGCTGATTCCCAAGCACAGGATCATATTGAACGTGATGAAGAATTTGTTCAACGAGCAATTGTCGGCTTCGGTAAAGTAAACGTAGAGAAGAGCGATTCCGGTCAGCGAAAGAGCATATTGCAAGCCGGTGACGCAGCACAGCGCAGCGAACCATCCGCGTGATTCCTCTTCCTCGTAGTTGCTAACCCAGGCTTCTGCCCACGAGTGGGCAAAATCTACGATGTAGACCAATTGTACCAGGATGAAAGCAAATCCACCAATCAGACCGACCCACATCCAAGCCGGACCGAATCCAGTCTCCGGAATGAAGAATGCTCCAATGGCGATAGCGGCCACGATCATAAACTTAATTCCCCAGAACCCGTTTTGCAGGGCAGCACGTGGATCCTTGGACGAACGAACCCCGACCATCATGAGGGCCCAAAGTGCAAAGAAGCAACACAAGGCAAAACAGATGCGATAGACGGCCAAATAGCCTACGGCCGAGCTGCAGTCAATCGTTTCCGCATTCGGTATCAGGTGCCCAGCGGTTGATGTAGAGTTGGCGCAGAATGGCACCTTTTGGAGGAAATCCTGCAACCCCGGGGCAAGCATTATTGCAGCAACGATGGCTCCCAGCAGCAGCATCAAGGCGTACATGAAACGCGTCGCCGTCGAGTTGGATTTCAACGACGACGGACATAGCGAACAGCAGAGGGAACATGCTGTTCCGGTGCAGCAGCAGGCAAGCTGGAAAAGTAGGAAGATAAGTAAATTTACTGATAGAAGATCCCAAAGCAAACAAAAGTCTGTCTCAGATGATAACAGTGCATCATGGTCACGGAAGAGACAGTAAACATGGCGATCATTGATTTTTTTTTGTCGCATTGTTTATTCGTGTTTTTTAGTTTTACTTATGATGGTTTCATTCAAGTAAGATGACTCATTGGGATTCTTAATCCCATTATATATCAGTGAAATGCCCAATAGAACGCGCTATTGGAAAAAGTCTAACGAAATTAAACAAAATATAAAAATTTAATTTTGTCTGACTCGAGATTGAGTGTCCTTCAACTTTCTGTTAGCTACGGGTTGTTGCGCAAAATACGAAAAATCAATAAATCGAAAAAAAAAACAACTTTGCAATTAACTTACATTTGCCGCCGACACTAAGCCCAAAACTGCTCCCATTGCACGAGAATCAATCCACTGAAGGTATTCCACGGAAAACTGTCGAATCACAATCAAAATTCCAATGTAATAATTGGATTTGCGTTTTCAGTTCGATTTTTTTCGCTTTCACAACAAAGAACCCCTACCAGTAACAAAACAACACGACCGAAGTGTTTCGCAAGAAAAACACGAATAAAAAAAAGCAAGATGGAGAAGGGAGAAGGCAAACATAACTTTTGACGTTTCTCGAGCATAAACGGGGGAAAGCCAAGTGGTCGTCGAATCGGTAAACATAAAACTCGCCCATGCAGCAGAAATGGTACGAACATCTAACTTGGTGCACCTTCCAGACTGGAACTAACCTTGCATGATAACTGTCAAACTTCGTTCCGATGGTTCGTTCGCGTTCGATTATTCTTTCTTTCGAACCTGTGCAAAATTCTTTCGTAGGAGCTGAAAGCTCTTGGTTTTTCGCCTATTTCCTGTTGAAAACTAGCTTCTTCCCAGTTCGGATTGTTCCCATTAAAAACGGTGACATCAAAGCTGTATTATAAAATCAAACACACAATGACCAGGTACGTTCGAAGTTAATTAGAATCGATTTCTGGATGTGACTGAGAGCAGGGCTTCCTTCCCCGTTACTAACCTCAATTTTGGATGAGCCTCTTGTGTTGGATACAGATAGATATTTTCTGCATCTTCCGACAGCCCGAAAGTGCCGGTTTATGAATGAAATCTTACTTCCAGGGCCAACATTGAACTAGGCGATGTCACCCATCACAATCTGAAACAGCTGAAGAAAATAAACACGGTCGTACTGCCGGTGCTGTACAACGACAAGTTCTATCTGGATGTGCTGGAATCGGGAGAGCTAGCGAAGCTGGCCTACTACAATGATGTGGTTGTTGGGGCCGTCTGTTCCCGGATCGACACCTCGGACAACATGCGAAGGTTGTACATTATGACGCTGGGATGCTTGTATCCTTACCGACGGCTTGGCATCGGAACTGTGATGGTCAAACATATCCTAAACTATGTGGAAAATGATGGCAACTTCGACAGCATATTCCTGCATGTGAAGGTCGATAACGAGGGCGCAATCGAGTTCTACAAAAAGTTCGGCTTCGAAATTGTCGAAACCAAGCAGCACTATTACAAACGCATCGAACCGGCCGATGCTCACGTGCTGCAGAAGACTCTGACCAGACGCGGCAACCCAGGACAACAGCAGCAGCAGCAACAGCATCATCAGAACGGAACCGCCGGAGGAAATAACGTAAACCAGAGCAGTCAGAGCATTCAAAATTCAACCTCCCAACTACAGCAAGCCCCGGAGAAGAACCGATAAATGGCACTGGCTGGCTGAGAGGCTCGGTGGCCATCCGCTGCTGAAGGTGGCGAACACAAAAAAATCGACGGTAGGAGTTTATTCGATTTGTTATTTATTACGTACCGGTTGTATTACTACGTTCCGGGAATACTTTTCAAAGTTTCAGATGTCGCACCAAATTTCAGTTTCCTTCGGTGAAAAGTAGCGAATGGTCTTGTTGTTTTTTTTTTTAAATTTGATTCACTCTTTTTTAGCCGCCAAATTCTTACGTGGGTGGTTATATATTGTGTTTGCCTGCTGGTCGTTTTCGATTCTTATGCTAAAGCAAATATGCGCAGCATGAGAATCGCCTATTGTGCAGCAGGATGTATATGAAAAGAGTTTGGAAAATGCGAGCGAACAATTATTTTAAGAAAAAATGATATCTCAATGTGTTGAATAGAGGTCGAATAAAGGGATAGGCGGATAACAAGTGGAAAATGTGTGCCAATAATAATATCACATTTTCTTGGGAAGAGAGGTTACTCGCTATACGCCGCAGAATCATTTTTTTACGCATAGGGAAACTGAGGTAAGATGGCCTAGACGAACATCGTCTCTAAATCACAACTTTTGAGTGTTTTTTTTTTCCTTGGTTTGTTTTCCGTCGATCTTGTTTTCCGTGCTGAGCACCAATGCTACCGACGCCAGGGAGGCAGCTCCCACACCTGGACCCTACCCTATCGACTCATCACCTCATGAACCGGGGACCAACGGCTTTACTTCCCTTTCGAAGGCGTGATAAGAGATGTTATGCCTCACAACATCCCGGTGGCGCCGGCAATCACGCTTACCACTACACCACCGGCGCCGCTAACTTTTGACAGTTAATTTGGTAGAAATGTGTGTTAACTAATTCGCTACTAAGTTCTCATGCTGCGTACGGCAAAATATAAATACGTAGCGGTTAACACTGTTGGTTAAAAATAATGTTTAATAATCCTTTATTTTTTTCTAATTTGAGTATTGGTTACCTGTGCAATAGCATAAATGTTATCCTTGTTCAATATTTTGTAGAGGTGTCATAATCAAATTATATTATGAAGATTCAAACATCTGATATTGAATGGGACAAGATGAGTACCATCAATTTAAAGGGTAACAATGCCTAAAATTCATTCCATGTCCAACAATACAACGGAATTGATCAAGTTGGTCATGATAGTTTAACATAAAATGACTAATTTACGTTAAAAGTTTTAAAAATTAAGGAAATAATCTAGCTTAAAGTAAAATTTTATGAAACTTTTTGAAAGATGTGTAACCTTGAAAAAAAAAAATAATAACTTTACCAATAGGGACTTGTGTCAGGGCGATGATTTCTAGACTAACATTTGAAGAGGCGGAAGATCCAAAATGTAAACAAACCATATTTTGCCACATATAGAGAGCATGTTCCCGTACTTGCTGTACCATATTATTTTCTTACAGCAACTTACAGATAGCTGCAGCATCCCCGAGCAAAAGCAAAAAAAAAGGAGAGATGAAATGCTGGTTCGACAGCAAAAACTGGAAGGACCAGAGAGTACTATCCAGATTACGCTGCGGCTACACCGGATTTTCACACGATCTCAGATCCTGTGATAGATTCCAACAATGCCTGGGGTGCTTAACCAAAATGTCAGCATCTCATAATAAATTGTCCTGCATATCGAAACTTCCGAGACCACTACGGTATCGGTCCCAGCATCAGAGACGCATTATCCAATGACCCAGACAGGGAAAGATCACTTCTCGACTTCCTTAAAGACACCGGCTATTATCAATCTACGTAGAACTCCGCAACGAACAATGACACTACAATGTACGAACAACGGCACTTGGCCAACACCAGCTTTCTAAATGACATGACAAACGGAAGAACGACGACAACCCCGCAGGCTACGGACATTGACGTTCTTTCGGAAATTAATCACAACTTCGTTCACTTACCTTACTCTTACAAATACAACAGTCGACACAGAACTCTGATATCCGTAAACTCTGTAAACTAGGTAATTTTTTTTTTCCAGTGACCCCCTCAGGAATCCCTTCCCTTTAAAGAGACGAGTCTGGGCTGAAAGTCTCTATAATAAAGCAAAAGAAGAAGATTAAGAAGAAGTACGGAAACAGACCTAATCATACTGATATTGAACCCACCGGGTAAGATGGCTTTGACGTTGGCCTATGGATCTAAAGATTGGGCCCATGTATAAAAATCTCCTGTTCTTATTTTTTAGAACAATGCGTCATCTGGACATTTACAAATTGATATTTTTAGTTAATAAGGAAACATTTTCAAAAAATGCTTTCCTTCAACATTAATGTATGGGCCCAATATAAGGGACCCCTAGGCCGACATTAGGGACATAAGACCTACCAATCAATTTATTTTGAACAATTAAAGTACAGCATGCTCATTATGTCCCATCTGTTCACTATTCCCCCCTCTCCCCAATAGGTCAACCCTTGAAGCTTCTGTAGGATTATAGTAAGAATGATTAATCAGATCAGCGGCTATTCACAGGTAATAATACTCGAGGTAATACTTACTCTCATGGCTTCTTCTTCTTCTTCTTCTAGGTGTTTTACGCTTCTGTAGCGTTTTAAATGCACTTCTACAGTTATTTAAATTGAGAGCTTTCTATGCCAACCAATGCATGATTTTGTATATTGTGTGGCAGCATAATGATATTCTACGTTCAGGGAAGTCGAGAAGATTTCCAACCCAAAAAATTTCCTCGACCGAACCGGGAATCGAACCCGCTGCCTCCGGCTTGGTAATATCATGCTTTTACTGACTAGGCTATGGTAGGCCTCAAGCCACTGAGCTATTTTTCAAAGGACTCGGTCCTGAGCCAATTGCTTCCAGTCGCTATAGACGTTAAAGTGAATAGCTGTGGAAACCTTAGGGCTGTCTACAATCTACGTAGATAATCATCCATGCACATGGGCCGGGGCCGGGACCAACGGCTTTACTTCCCTTCCGAAGGAAGACGTGACCAGAGATTTTTATGCCTCAGAAAAATCCCACCGACCTCGACTGGGAGTGAACCCAGACCCATTGGGGTGAGAAAGCACCACCGGCGCCGGCCATAAACTTTTTCTCGCTTCCTCGTTTCTCCTCATGACTTTTCTCCATATGGGTGCGACACAAATTACGTCACATAGGCGCCCCTCTAGTTACGCTAAGAGCCGGACACGATGGCCGGATTGATTAACTGTTGTGCGAGCATCTTCTTCCGGACGATGTGCAATGCTTTCATCACATGTAAATGCTGGCTTCAGGCGATCGATAGAAATATTTTGATTCTTTCCAGACATTAATATTTCAAATTGTTTTTCACTACGATTCACTACCCTATGGCTGCAGGGAACGCCTGGCTGCATCTACTCGAACAAACACATGGCTGCACGTTTACAAAGCACTGTGCACGAACACTGATGTTTTGGAATGATGATTAGAAGGTGGTGGACGAAGTTTCGAAAATGATTCATGTAGCTGTTGGGCTTATCCAACGATCGTTGTCGATGGCTCGAAAACTCCCCTGGAAGTGGCAGTCCAAATCATAAGACGACGCATGGAGCACGAAAGGCATTGGGCCAGGAAGTTTTTCTTTTCTCGTCGCTGGTACCAGGTTGGAACCCGTATGGATTAGGAAGCAAAGCCCACTCGTTTTATCAAATAACTTGAGACGCCGGCTAATAAAAGGTCCACCCACCTCCGCCGACTCAGATGAGCAATTTTTTAGTTTTTGGTTTCTTGTAATGACATGGTTGCTTTCATAGCTGGGTTTGGCGGCCGTATTTACGATGATACCATCAGGTTTCGTTTTCCATCCTGGACCGCGATGCCGAAACGGCTGAATAGGGCGATTCCATCATTTTGTCAGCCATCTCAGCCAGTTTTGTCAAGGTTTCATCGCTTTGTCAGAATCGGTCGAACGTGCGGTGGCATACGTTGAATGGATAGCATTTTGAAAAGATTGTCATTTATATTCAATCCGGTGGCCAATTCCTGCATTTTAGCCAACAGATGCGTTGGCGCTCGTCGCCAAGATCAGTAGACCCGAGGAGCCGATTCGAGACCAAGTCAGCTATGTGGTAAATTACTCTCATTTCATCTTTTGTAACGTTCCCGAGGATAAATTGCGCTTCCGCCTGCGCGAACTGCATTTTCCGATCTGTTTTCCAGAATTCCGGAAGTTTGACGGAAAATAACGCTGCCTGCTGATTTTCGTTTTGCGACATTTTGAGGTTTTGGCATAAAAATCTCTGGTCACGTCTTTCTTCGGTAGGGAATCAATGGATGGCAATCGATGACCGTCGGTGATTGATACTAGATTGTGGAATAGAGACCGACGTTAAATAAAGTAAAAAAGACATTTTGAGGTTAGGAAATGTGCGCGGGTTTTCGAAATGTCGCGATATCCCGTCGGGGTCACCAATGTGGCGGACGGATAAGAACAGAATAGAAACATCGCGTTTGTGTTTGATAATAATCTTTTTATTCACTGCAAATCACGCGGTTGTTCTTCTACTCTCTGCCGTCACACGAATAAACTTCTTTCTTCCTCGTTTCTCCATATGGACGCGCCACAAAATACATCCCATAATCTGTTTCGTCCCATTTCCCCTTAAGGTCTGAGGTCAAGCTTCCAAAAGTTTAATTCAAAATTGTAACGTTTAACCATTAAATAACAACATGGTGCCTCTTTTCAGAGAGTCTCAAAACATGTTGCGAGACAGCGCTGGCAGTGTTGCCAATGTGATGGTAAGAAAGACAACCATTATAATAATTACATTCAAATAGAGATTAGGACAGCCAAGATCCCAATAACTTCATCAGACATGTTCCGAGTGTCTTTGAGAACGTTGTCAGAATCTTGTTTGAGTCAAAACTAAACATATGATCTATCAAATCAGGGTGACCAGTGAATTTTCATTTTAAAATTTCCGGTTTTTCCCGGATTTCCCGGTTCTAATCTCAAAATATTCCCGGTTTTTAATGTTTAGTAAAAATAATGATTGTAATATAACGTTATTTTCGAGGTACTAGCGGCGCCGGTGGTGTAGTGGTAAGCGTTATTGCCTTTAACCCTAAAAGGCCGGGATTCAATCCCAGTCGGTGTTGCTGGGATTTTCTGAGACTTATTAGACACCGTTAACATTGAGTCCGCCGCTCAAAATATTTCCAATGTCTTGGCATATGTTATTAACAGACACGTTCCGAAAAAGATTCATCATCATACGACCCATCTACCACGGCATAAAATTTCGTCAACTGAAATCCAGAAAGAGAGCCGCTCTTAGAATATTCACCAAGCACCGCACACTATCCCTTCAACGTCACTATGTCAGGATCAATCACGAATACAAACGAGTTGCGAAACGGTGCTTTCTTCAGTATCGACGTGGATTGCAGAGAAAGCTTAAGTCACGTCCCAAGCAGTTTTGGAAGTTTGTCAACGAACAACGCCATGAAGCTGGTCTGCCGTCCTCTACGATACATAATGATAACGTGGCCTCATCTACGCAAGGTATCTGTCAGCTGCTTTCTGAAAAATTAGCTACGACCATGCCCGACCATACGTACCACTCTCTGGCCAAACCATGAACAGAATTAATATCAATCCCGAGATGTTTTCCAGGGCTTCCTCGACACTCAAGTCGTCGTACAATCCGGGTCCTGACGGAATTCCATCGGCGTTCCTCAAAACGCACTTGGACAGTTTGTTGTCTCCTCTGCTGCACGTTTTTCAAAGGTCCGTGGACGTTGGCGTTTTCCCATCCTGTTGGAAGCTAGCGCACATGTTTCCAGCACACACGAAAGGCAGCAAACAGGACGGTGGCAACCAGGGTGCCTTCCATTCATTTTGGCTATAAAAATGTTTTATAAAATTATGGAATAATAAGATATTATTATAATATTTTGTTTGTGTAAGCAACAAGAAAAGATTGTGGAGTTTGTGTTTGACACATAATACCAGCCAATGTTGCTGCATGAGAGTGGCAATAAGCGATTTTGTCATTTATCTCACCCACTCTTCGCTCTTCACTCTTCGCGAAGAGGCGATCAGAAAATCGCTCATTGTGGCTCTGTCAAAGCTAAATTTGCAGGTTTTATGTGTCAAACACAAACTTTAAAATCTTTTCTTAATCCTTACATATACAAAATACCATCATAATATCTTATTATTCCATAATTTCCTAAAACATTTTTTTAGTCAAAATGAATGGAAGGCACCCTGGTGGCAACTACCGTGGCATCACTTCGCTTAGCGCTGCTGCTAAATTGTTCGAACTCGTTGTTATGGAACTGTTACTCGCCCACTGTAAGCCGTATATTAGTATCGACCAGCATGCCGTCGACAAAGCTTCCAGAATTCTAGGGTTTATCTTCAGGATTGCCAAAGACTTCACGGATATCAACTGGCTTAAATCGTTGTACTGCTCCTTGTCTCGCTCAATATTAGAATACTGCTCGGTTGTCTGGACTCCTTACTACAACAACGGTGTCGAAAGTGTTGAGTCTGTTCACCGACGGTTCCGTGGACGGATACCTTTCGATTACCTAGCTACGAAAGTCGTTTGCAACTGATCCATCTGGAGCCCCTGTCGGTCCGAAGAGATACAGCAAGGGCATTGCTAATTGCAGATATTTTGCAAGGACGCACTGATTGTCCTGTTCTCCTTGAGCAAATTGACATCAATGTTTGACTATTTTACTTTGACCTGACTCGCCAGCTGCTTCGCCCGAGGTTTAGTCAATTTTTTCTAGATCAGTTTAGTTTGTCTAGCAATGTTCCTTTTTTACGAGATGACTGTTGACTTATTGATGTTTAGTTTAAGTAATTTTTATGTTTAGTTTAGGTTACATCATTGGGGCCAATGACGTCTGTTGATGTTAGTCATAAATAAATAAATAAATAAATGGCACAAATGCTCATTCAATGCTATAGATTCAACAGCAAGTATTCGATTGAAAGTTACAGTTTTCATGGCTGTGCTCCTCATGACGTTTCTCCATATGGGCGCGTCACAAATGACGTCCCATACTCTGTTTCGTCCCATTTCCCCTTAGCTATAGTAATACTTTCAAAAATATTACACACACCATTTTCTACAAACGATTCATGTGGACATGAAAACGATTAAAAAAAAACTTGACCAATAGGAAATGTATCGGTTTCAAGTGGAAGGTACAAGGAGAGATGGCCAATCAAGCACAACAGGACGGATTTAATTGGAATTACGTAGATCGATTAAAACATCTGATGAATTCATTCACAAATTTATTTATTTGTTTATCGTACGAATTTTTGATCTTGTTTAATGTTTACAATAACATTTGTAAATTTTATTCAACATATGAAGTGTGTAACTTGTTCTTTTCTATTTGCTCCAACAACGGTAATATTTGAAATGTTTAGTCGATAGGAACATTCATTTTACCATTCTATGTTTGTGTATGTTTTGGTTTCGGTTTAAAGTAGTTTCTCTTGTAAATATATATATTTTATGTAATAATGTTCTTCCATAAACCTGGTTGAAAAAAAATGAATTTATTCCATACAAAGTAATATAGTTGCCTTTTCCGTTCCAGAAGGTAAGAAAACACGTTTCATTCATCAAAATATGTGCACTAATTTGTCTTTGGTATTTTTAACACTTTCATCCGGATAAAAAGATTAGAAATATTTGTTTTTTTGTTTTTGTTTCTCAGAGTAAATTAAAGCCAATTGCACAATAATATCATCATTCAATTTTCGAGTAAAAATAGTCACTTGTCGGGCACAATATCTGAGCAAAAGGTGGATCGGTCTAGCTGATTTTTTTTTGTTATATCGTAACATAATATGATTATCCATTCAGTTTACTTCGGTAACACAAACTTAGGTAGATTGTTTCTGTGAGATTGCTTTTGACTATTGACTTGCTTGTTTGCTAATCTAGCAATGGTTTGTGGTATTGCTTCGCTGTGTAATATTGCGAATTATTTGTTGAGCTAATCGTTTTTAACTTTCATGTACATAACACGTGCGTTTTCTATGCTGTTTATGGGTAACAAACAACTAAGGTACCTTATTTGCCTAATTGAAAATTGTTAGCAATCAATGTTGGACCCTAAGCGAAGGCCAATTAATTACAATCGGGCGGGAAATTATATTTCCATCGATTACGGACTGGGTTAGCAAGCAAAAATGCATATGCCGCCAAATAGGAGGTTCCAAAGGTAATATCAATAATTTTGTTATCGTGTCACAAATGTATTTTATTCTTATAAAAAGCGATAGTACGAACCCATACCCAGGGAATGTAGGTCTTCCCCGGATGATGGTTTCGTTCCACCGTAAATAGCCTCTAAAGTAGCTTCATCAATATCAGAATGAATTAGTATCATTAGTGTGATGTGTAGGTGCAAGACGCTAGTACCTAAACGTTTGCGATGCGTTCACTACCTTTGCGAAACAATAGCTTTGATCCGGCGAGGCAGGTACGGAATTGTTAACAGCATGTCTTGGTCTCGCCGTCTTCGGCCGGAATGGATACTTCTAGCAACTCTGAAATACGACGAACGCAAAGTTTCGAGCCCTCGTGTGCTTCTTTGGATATCTGAAAAGAAAAGGGGCGAAGCATTGATATAAGAAGACGGTGTTTCAAAACATATCGACCAATTAAAAATCGCTTACCGATGCAAAGTTGAGAAAACCGTGTGGAAGCCCCGGGAGGATATCCAGCGAGACTGGATTGTTCAGTTTCTTCAGTCTTTTGGCAAACATCACACAATCATCCAGGCATGGATCCAATACAACCGACTGAAAAAAAAAAACAAACAATACAATCCTCCAGTTAACACCTGCAGCTTATTTGCCTCTCTTGACTAGCGTAACATTACCAAAATTTTCGTCGGAGGAAACTGACTCAACACTTCGTCCGTGGCCCAAAAAGGCGACATGTGAGAATCTTTCGGCACCTCGAAGATGAACTCGTCCGAAGGACTGCGAGCGATCAATGCCTCCATATTGCAGTGGAGTTCGGTCTGCGAACCGCTGCTCGCTATTGGTTTTGATGTCGTGATGGCATTGAACGTTGAGGACACCCGATTCACCAGGTTGCTGGCCACGTTGGTGACTCTAAACGTGGGAAAAAGATGCACTGTCAGGTTGACTTTTTTCACAATTTAAACTAGTTAGAAACTTACTTTTCTTGCAGATTCTGAACGCTGATCGCTTCCCGCCCGATGTCCATAACGATGTTTTCCTCCGAAGCTGATCGTGAAATCGGTCGCAGGATGGGTTCGATTTCTCCGGCAGCATTTGTGGTTGTGTCTAGGACGTATCTGTGGAAATTGATTTGCAATGTAACATTTGTCGGTCAAGTTGGACACCGGAAAACCTCACAGGCGACATTCGATTTTACTCTCGCTCTGTAGGTGCTAAACGTAACGTCGGACAAAGTGCACATTATAGCGCATCATGAACAAGAGTAACAACGATTTTCGTGTGTGTGATTTTCGGTATTTTGAAACGGATTTTTGATGTTTTTACAGTCAGCCCCATCAGACTTATATCTTCTAATAAATTCAAATAACCGTAATTGCACATCTTTCTCATTCATCTTTAAGGTCTATGTTTAGGGTATACTTTGATGCCACTGAAAAAGCGCATGGGTTTCATAGAACAATAGAAAAGATTTTCAAAAAGGTGTTGGCAAAATCGGGTCATAACTGTACCGTATGCGTGATAATGATTTACTTAGTTTGACAGTTGCACCATGACGAAGTGGCAGCGTATTCGTGATTTGTCCCACGCGCAAATGTCGCAAAAAGACATTTCAATCGCCGTGGGAGTGCCCCGGTGGACCGTCAAAAGGGTTTTAGATCGAGAAAAGAAAGGACAACTATCCGCGAAGGTGGCCACAGGTCGTCCGAGGTCAGTTCGGGTTCCGAGGGTTATCGCTGCTATCAAAAGGAAGATTCGGGTGAATCCAGTGCGTTTAATAAGGAAAATGGCAAGGGAACACGGGATCAGTGACTTTACGGCACGGAAGACCGTAAAGGAAGATTGCGGGGCGAAGTCGAGGGCACGTTAAAAAACTCACTAGATTACCAACCGCATCCGGGAGCTACGAGTCGAGCGAAAAAATCCGGTAATCCTGTTCACCGACGAGAGCATGTTTACCGTCGATTCTGTATCAAATTCCAGAACCGACCGGTATATTAGTTCTCTTCCGGTAAAAAAACGTGGCCGACGAGCAAAAGAACGTGTATCTTTCCAAGCATCCTGCTAGCGTTATGGTGTTTGGATTGGTTGGCCGGTGTTCATTCCAGAAGGCGACAAGGTCAACACGGAGGTCTACATCGTGATTTTAAGTAAGTATGTTCTTCCGTGGATCAAAGAACAGTACGGTCCGAAGCCAAATGTTGTATTTCAACAAGATGGGGCTCCGTGCCACACCTCGAACCACACTCAGAAGTGGTTGCAGGAACATCTTCCGTTCTGGGCGAAGGATATGTGGCCGCCATCCAGCCCCGATCTTAATCCGCTGGATTACTCAATATGGCGCGTCATGAAGGCCAAGGCCTGTTCTAAACGCCACCCGAGTACAGCAAGCCTCAAACAAACATTGACCCGTACATGGAGAGAAATGCATCCAGACTACATTATTAGAACCTGTCGTGCATTCCGGAAGCGTGTGGAGGCCGTAATTGCAGCAAGTGGAAACTTAATCGATGATTAACATTGTTTAAGATTCTGAGAAACATCCCCCCTTTGAATAAATAAAAAAAACTCGAAAACGAAATTTTTGAGAATTTTTTTAATTTTGACATTGCTCAATGGTGCAAACATTATCACGCATACGGTATCCTGTTGGACAGGGTTTCAGATTTATTGATTCATGATTTAATTCGAGGGGGGCGACACATCTAAATCTCAATTCTACATGCTCAACAAATCTCAAACTAGAGAAACATTCTTCGAAAAATCTTCTTTCATTTATCGCATCTACTTGCATCGCATATCATCTTTTTGCAGGAAATCTTCAGAATCGCCATCAATCTTCTTTCTATCTACTCAGCGTGCTCGCAGCTAAACACAGCAAAGCATCGTACATAGAGTCGCCCTTTCGGTTTAATTGGTCTTGTCACATTGTCACGGTTTCTAAAGGTTTTTCAATATTCTGTTTTTTTTTAATGTTTGTCTAATCAATAGACAAGCAAGTTTTGCTTCTTTGAAAAATTTCCACCGGAAAACTTTGTAAAAATTAATAATCCGGATTTTACAGTGCTATAGCGTATATGGCAATATGCTGGATAGACTAACCAGCAAGTTATTGAAAAGTCGAGGGAGTAACCTCTCCAACGCACAGTGGTTGCACACAATTGTTGCTGCCTTAACAAGTAATTTTAGAAAAAAAAAAAAAAACACTTGGCTTTGAAGACCTTTCGAAGGAAATTATGCAGAATTATCTCGAGAACCAAAACCATAATTTAGGCAGTAGAGGATTAAAAGTTGCTTTAATTGTATTTCCTTTCGGCTAATCACGAGCAATAATGCAACAATACACTTAACGTTTGATAAGTGAACGATTTTTAACCGTAATATCTTCAACTTGAATTCCGCAGAATGAAAGTTTTAAATAAAGGTTGCTTATATATGGCAATGTTTTTCAATATTAAAATGTAACGAAAAGTATGTCAGTAATGCACCTGAAATGTTTGACATATGAAATGCATATTTGTTAGAGAATTCCGTTCGTGAGGTAAATACTAAACATTGTTCAGCTACCGAACGTTGAGTATTTAGTGTTTGTCGGCCTTTTGTGACAAGTTCGTACATTTACGGCCTTTTGTGGTTCGGCCTTATTCGGTTTTCGACCTTTTGTGATAGGTCCATACATTGATGGCCTTTTTCGTGTGGCCTTCTGTCCCCTTCCCGTTAAGTTATAGGTATCTGAAACATGGCTAACAAATCATTTTACTACGCTGCATAACTTTGTAGAACACAAATAAGTTGTATAAGTTTAAAGGAAAAAGTATTGATGAAAAAGCCTTTTTCAAGAACTGTATTTAAAAATCGTCAAATATCTTCAAAAGTATACAAGGTATGAACTATGTGTCCTAGACAAAATTGTTTGCAAGAGTATTTCCCACAAATTTTGTGAATACCCCAACCATGTACATTGAAATGCTGAAGAAATTAATTCGCCATCTCACTTGTAGGAGGATTATTCATTGAGATGAAAACATCACATGAAGTGCATTAGCATACCTATAAATTTCTCCAAAAACATAGTAATATGATTAACCCCAAGCCATCAAAACTTCCTCAAACAGTGTGTCGATTCATGGTTGGCATGGCTGATTCACGACAATGCGATGATCATGTTCGATGTTCGAGCAATCCTAATTCATCTCCGGGACGCACAATAGACCGCTCTTTGGAAGCTCCTGGTTCCTCCAACCCTGTCCTGGACCTGTGGTTGGATATGAATCAGGAGTCTTCCACCTTACCTCTACAGGCAAGTACAATCAATATATTGACTATTCACTGCCTGATGCCGATCAAATTTTCAGCAATTCGGACTATGTTAGTCATTGTGATAATGTATCTGTAACTCCCAATCCTGGGAACCTGGAACGACTTGATGATGGTCAGTTATTGCCTGATGTATCTGTGATTTCCAGGGAGATCAGTCGTTCGATTCCTTGCCGCAAGCAGGACGTCGTGATCTTCTACCAAAACGTCGGTGGAATGAATTCTGATGTTGAAGAGTACCGCCTAGCTGTATCGGATTGTTGCTACGAGGTCTTTCGTTGCGATCGGAATCCTAACAACAGCCGTAAATCTACTGGTGGAGGTGTCCTTGTAGCTGTCCGTGGCCGGTTGGAGGCAAAGGCCATCGAGAACGATTCATGGAACTATGTGGAGCAGGTTTGGACAGCCATCAATCTGGGTGATCGCACACTATTTCTATGCGCTCTGTACATTCCACCTGATCGAGTCCGGGACAATGAACTCATCGATACTCACTGTCGGTCAGTTTTCACAGTTATCGAAAGTGCCACTCCAGTTGATGAGATATTCATTTTTGGTGACTTCAATCTGCCAGGCGTTCCGTGGAGTCCATCTCATAGCGGATTCCTGTACCCTGATAGCTCTACATTTCACGCAGGAGGCTACCACTTTCGGAAAGGTGAGAGTTGCCCCTATCCGAATATGTTGTTGGTTTGCGTGAGCGTACTTCGGTTCGCGTGTAAAGGGCCTTAAAAAGTTTGTTTACAAAAGCTTTTGTGCCGTTATCAAATGTTTTGCCTGATATGTTGTTGATAAGGCGTTAAGAACTTCAGGGTTCATTTTTAGGATAGCTAAAAACTTCACTGATATTTACTGTCTAAAATCTCTCTATTGTTCGGTTGTTCGATCGACGCTTGAGTTTTGTTCAGCGGTTTGGAATCCAAACTACAACAACGGTGCCGAGATAATTGAACGTCACTTTCTTCGTTTTGCGTTGCGTAGATTGCCTTGGAATGATCCGTTTCGATTACCCAGTTACGAAAGCCCTTGTCAACTTATCAACCTAGAACTTCTCCGAACTAGAAGAGACACAAGCAGAGCCCTAACCGTGGCCGATATCCTGCAAGGAAAGACAGATTGCGAGGCTATCCTGAGGAAAATTGACCTGAATGTTCAACCCCGACCGCTTCGTAATAACCTTATGCTAAGACTGCATTTCAGTCGCACAAATTATAGAGCATACGGTGCGATTTGCGGACTGCAGAGAACATTCAACAGAGTTGCATCTGTTTTCGACTTTCGTCTCTCCCGTGATGCGCTTCGTCGAAAGTTTTCTCCTGTTTTTCCCCGGCTAGAGTAACTGACTATAAGATATATGTTTTTAAATTTTTTTTTTTATGTTGAGACCTAGCTTGAATGTATTTTTTTTTTACTATAGTAGATAAGGTTAACATCATTGGGGCTTCATCTAGCCTGTTGATGTAAAACAACAATAAAACAATTCGTTATGATTCAGCCACCATTCGAAAGGTATGGCTATCTACATTAATTTAGAGAAGGTAGTAGAAGCAAAAGGTGTGTCAATTCATGTTGACATGACTGGTTCTTAGCAATTTGGTTACCAAATTTTAAGTTTTAGCCACTATTTGAATGGTATGACTATCTACTTTCGAACGGAACAGACAGGGAACCGATTGGACCTGTGGTTGGCCAGTCGGAACGGGCAAACCCGTGAGAGTTTGCTCTGCGGAAATTTCACCAGATTTACCGGAAAAATTGTTTTTATTCTACATTGTATACGATCATGAGCATAGAAGAAATA